GAATCATATTAGCTTAGCCTTCCCCAAGTAAAGTAACTCAGCAATACATGGCATTGCTCAAGTCTCTTTTTGCCAGGTGAGATTTGTTGTTGTTTAGTCGTTTAGTCGTGTCCGACTCTTCGTGACCCCATGGACCAGAGCACGCCAGGCACTTCTGTCCTCCACTGCCTCCCTCAGTTTGGCCAAACTCGTGCTGGTAGCTTCAAGAACACCATCCAACCATCTCATTCTCTGTCGTCCCCTTCTCCTTGTGCCCTCCATCTTTCCCAACATCAGGGTCTTCTCCAGGGAGTCTTCTCTTCTCATGAGGTGGCCAAAGTATTGGAGCCTCAGCTTCACGATCTGTCCTTCCAGTGAGCCCTCAGGGCTGATTTCCTTAAGAATGGATACGTTTGATCTTCTTGCAGTCCATGGGACTCTCAAGAGTCTCCTCCAGCACCATAATTCAAAAGCATCAATTCTTCGGCGATCAGCCTTCTTTATGGTCCAGCTCTCACTTCCATACATCACTACTGGGAAAACCATGGCTTTTACTATACGGACCTTTGTTGGCAAGGTGATGTCTCTGCTTTTAAGATGTTGTCTAGGTTTGCCATCGCCTTTCTCCCAAGGAGCAGGCGTCTTTTAATTTCGTGACTGCTGTCACCATCTGCAGTGATCATGGAGCCCAAGAAAGTAAAATCTCTCACTGCCTCTATTTCTTCCCCTTCTCTTTGCCAAGAGGTGATGGGCCCAGTGGCCATGATCTTTTTTGATATTGAGCTTCAGACCATATTTTGCGCTCTCCTCTTTCACCCTCATTAAAAGGTTCTTCAATTCCTCTTCACTTTCTGCCATCAAGGTTGTGTCATCTGCATATCTGAGGTTGTTGATATTTCTTCCGGCAATCTTAATTCCGGCTTGGGATTCATCCAGCCCAGCCTTTCGCATGATGAATTCTGCATATAAGTTAAATAAGCAGGGGACAATATACAGTCTTGCCGTACTCCTTTCCCAATTTTAAACCAATCAGTTGTTCCATATCCAGTTCTAACTGTAGCTTCTTGTCCCACATAGAGATTTCTCAGGAGACAGATGAGGTGATCCGGCACTCCCATTTCTTTAAGAACTTGCCATAGTTTGCTGTGGTCAACACAGTCAAAGGCTTTTGCATAGTCAATGAAGCAGAAGTAGATGTCTTTCTGGAACTCTCTAGCTTTCTCCATAATCCAGCGCATGTTTGCAATTTGGTCTCTGGTTCCTCTGCCTTTTCTAAATCCAGCTTGCACTTCTGGGAGTTCTCGGTCCACATACTGCTTGAGCCTTCCTTGTAGAATTTTAAGCATAACCTTGCTAGCATGTGAAATGAGTGAAATTGTGTGGTAGTTGGAGCATTCTTTGGCACTGCCTTTCTTTGGGATTGGGATGTAGACTGATCTTCTCCAATCCTCTGGCCACTGCTGAGTTTTCCAAACTTGCTGGCATATTGAGTGTAGCACCTTAACAGGTGAGATAGTGTGCTCTAATTCAAAGTACATTTATTGAGGAAGAAGGAGACAAGGGCTCAAATCCCATTCAGCCCTGGAATACACTAGGCTACCTTAGACTTGTTGCTCTCTCTTAGCCTAATCCATGCCTGTCAATTGAATATATACAAAGTAGGGAGCAATCCTGTACTCATGGGGAAGACAGCTGCACAGACCTTCCTTTCTGCCACCAGAGGCCTCCCTAGAACACCCACCATTGTTATTCTAATGGTGGTTTCTGACAGAAATGGGACCAGGGATATGTTTGGGAAGGCCAGGGATCTGCAGGATCCTGTGCCCCTTTCCCCTCTGCCCTAGGCCCCAAAATTATACCAGTCCAGGATCTGGAAACCGAAAGAAAAAACTAGCCACTCCTTCCCGTTTCCCATCCTGACCAGCAGGGCTCTGGATGCAATGGAAATTTCATTGCAGATGTTCTCTCCCCAGGTCGGTAGGTCTGCTCTGCTAACAAGCGGAACAGAATACAAGAGCAATTAAAAAGAATTAAGGACCTTGGTTAGGAGTTTAAACTTAACCCAGAAAGAAACAACTGTCACTTTGCAGAGAAGCAAAGCAATCAAGTTATAAGAAAGGAGATTCTGACTAAACTTCACGAAAAATGTTACGGCAGTAAGAGCTGTTTGACAGTGGAACAGTCTCCCTTGGGAGGTTGTGGACTCTCCTTCCTTGAAGGTTTTCAAGCCGAGGCTGGATGGCCATCTGTCATGGATGCATTAGCTGACATTCCTGCATTTCAGGGGGTTGGACTAGGTGATTGTGGCATTTGCCTGCTAGGTGAGTCATAAGGAAAGGGTTAAATGAGTGTGATGTGATTGTCCAGAGAGAAACTGATAGGAGGAGTTAGAGTCGGTGTTGTGTGGAAGTCAGTTGAGAGTTGGGAGTTGGAGAAGGAAGAGGGAGGATAAGTCTGTGGGTTGGTCGTGTTGTGTGGTGAGAGAGTGAGAGAAACTGATAGGAGGAGTCAGATAGACAGTTGGGATAATCAGTTAGCAGTTATTAGGAAATGTATAGGACAGTAAAGGAACTAAGATTAAGAAAAATTAACAGAAATCTTAAACTTGTTCGTGCTTATAAAAATAAACTTGATTATTTGTTAATGTTAACAACTGTCTGGACTCCGTGTGTACCCGAGGGAAACGGGTTGGTGGTAGCGAAGAGGCAATCACAGCAGTGGTACAGGGATCAATAGACCGTCAAACCTCCGGGGGACCCTGTGTGATCGCCACAGTGATCCTTGGGGTACCTTCCAACTCTACAATTCTATGATCATTGTGGGGAAATGATTCATCCACCCACAAACCAGTCTTTCTAACTCCTGCTTGTCATGAATCCATCAGGAAACAATAGGCTAACTCCATGCACATTATCCTTAGCTCTTTGGAACGGTTGGGAAGCAAATGCAATAAGTAAGATAAAACGGCGCCAGCTTTTATCTTTCCAAAGCAAAGAGAGTAATTAGGAAGAAGCGACATAGCCAGAGATCTATTACACACTTCTTCATGTTTTCCAAAAGAAGGAAAATAAACGGCAAGAAAGGAAAGGAAGCTGCTTGCATCATGAACGGTAACACTGATGTTGCCATAATACTCAACTTGTAGAAGTTAGCACCATGGACAGCAACAGCCCTTCATTCAGGATTCTTGACAAAAGGAATATTGGAGTATTTCTTACTTGGTTTGGGATATAAACAGCTGTAGCTGAAGCAAGATGAGATAAGTTGCCAGCATATATAACGGTATATATAAAAAAAACAGAATTTTGAGTCGCTTGAGTCAAATACTCCTTTGAAATGGGGAGAAGGTGACAGCTAAACTCACTACAGATATTTCCCCCAGGAGTGAACTTGTGGGTGAATGTTCTCAGGTATAGTATGACAGAATTTTTTAATTTAAAAGTTTGAGGATTATCTGCATAATAGCAAGAATTAAAAGTAAATGGAGACACCTCAGTTGACGGGAGGCTGAAGCCCACCATTATTTCAATACTTTCTGACATGGCAGTACGGTATTACTTATAAGGCACTTGTAAAAATTGTGGCTTCATTCATTTTTATTTATGAATTTATTTAATAATTTTGGTTGTAAACCTGCAACGCAAAGAACAATAACTTCACACCTGACTGGACTTTCGAATCTGAGGGTACAGTGGTACCTCGGGTTACATACGCTTCAGGTTACATACGCTTCAGGTTACAGACTCTGCTAACCCAGAAATAGTGCTTCAGGTTAAGAACTTTGCTTCAGGATGAGAACAGAAATTGTGCTCCGGTGGCGCAGCGGCAGCTGGAGGCCCCCTTAGCTAAAGTGGTGCTTCAGGTTAAGAACAGTTTCAGGTTAAGTACAGACCTCCGGAACGAATTAAGTACTTAACCTGAGGTATCACTGTATAGGTTTCTCCGGTGAGGAGCCAGAATCCACTACTTCACTCCCCCTCCCCCACCCTCTTCCTAAGCCTCTTGTGTCATTTTAAAGCTCCCATGACTATGGGCAGGCTTCCTCAAACTGGGCCCTCCAGATGTTTTGAGACTACAATTCCCATCATCCCTGACCACTGGTCCCGCTAGCTAGGGATCATGAGTGTTGTAGGCCAAAAACATCTGGAGGGCCCAGTTTGAGGAAGCCTGACAATGGCTCTTCAGTTCCTTTCAGTTCCTCCTAGCTTTCAGCGAAGGCTCCTGTACTTCGTTTTTTTCTTTCTTTCCTATTTAGGTGCTTCACTGAGGTAAACACCCTGCTGAAGTATCATCCTTTTAAGGTGGAAGTTTGCACTGAGGCCCTCTCAGGTCCTGCACATACTGGGCCAGTTTAGGCTACCCGGAACATCTTATACCAGCTACTCATTGCTAGTCTCTTGCTACAGTCTTTTCCAGGCTGTGTTTGGCATCCTGCAAACTCATAGCCTGACTGGAACAAGGCAAAGAGGAGTTGCTTAACATGATGAAAATCATTACGTGGTGCTTAGCAGGGCAACTAAAGGATCAGAAACAACTGTCTTGTCTTATCCAGCCTTACAGTTCTGCAGACTTGTCCTCCTGAGGATACATCTTATGGCATGTATTTACATATTTATTTAAAGTTTTCCACTTCTTCTTCTTCTTCTTCTTCTTCTTCTTCTTCTTCTTCTTCTTCTTCTTCTTCACCTTCCAATTACCATTTATTGTTGTTGTCTTCATTGTTGGGCTTATTAAGCCTAAGAGATGAAGTTGTCATTTCCACTCGGTTGCATCCTTTGAATTTCCAAGAGGATGCTCATTAGCTCGTAATTGTAAAAATGATACCTCCCTGACATTTTCTCTCTGGGGATTTCTTCTCTGAGGAGTTGTCAAGCTGAATCGTCATCTTCTGAATCCCTGCACCCACTCACAGCAGACTGTGTCAGCCTGTGCTCAAAGGGATCTTTTTGATGTAAACTCTGCACTACCGATTATGTCCTTCTGCGTATGACTGTCATCCAAAGGCCTGTCTTTTCCTTTACACAGTCCTTAGCTCAGCTGGTAGAGCATGAGACTCTTAATCTCAGGGTCCTGGGTTTGAGCAAAAGATTGCTGCATTGCAGGGGGTTGTAGTCCCTTCCAACTGCACAATTCTATGATTCTATGAGCTGCATGGTTGACTATATAATAATGCCAATCCATACAATTATCTCTAAAAACTGAACTGTATTAGAGGGTACTTCACATATACTGCAATGCAATGATGGTCTCTGACCTGCACACCAGCCTAGGGTGTTTTAAAAGCACTTGCCAGTACCTTATTTTTCAAAAGCCGGTTGCCATGTAGAGAGCTACTGTTTTTCCCTCTGGAAGAACAGTTTTTACAAGTTCCACAGGGCTCACAGAATTACTCCTGTCACTGTTTGGATGCTGACCAGTGGATGTTTATAAAATCATCTGCAAACAACTCGTTTTCTCATACAGTGGTACCTCGGGTTAAGTACTTAATTCGTTCCGGAGATCCGAACTTAACCTGAAACTGTTCTTAACCTGAAGCAACACTTTAGCTAATGGGGCCTCCTGCTGCTGCTGCGCTGTTTCTGTTCTCATCCTGAAGCAAAGTTCTTAACCTGAAGCACTATTTCTGGGTTAGCGGAGTCTGTAACCTGAAGCGTATGTAACCTGAAGCGTATGTAACCCGAGGTACCACTGTACTTCAGTTACATGACCAACACAGAAAAATTTGAAAGCAAATGGATTTGTGCCTTTGTCGTTTAGTCTTAGCATGTAGAACCATTTGGTTATCTCTCACAATCGTGCACAAGAGAACCACTGAATTGGCTAAAGACAGAGAGGTGGTCTCAAGAATAAGCACTTGCTGTCTAGTTGTCCACTAGACACAAGACTCTCAAACAGCATCCAATGTCTGAGTTGGCAGCTAGACTGGTGACTGGGAGTGGCTACTGAGACCATATAACACCAGTCCTGAAGGACCTGCATTGGGTCCCAGTACGTTTTGGGGGGACAGGGGGTGGGCAGATGTGGAGGACTCTCTGGTCCTGGATGGAGTAATTGTGCCCCTGAAGGACCAGGTGCGCAGCCTGGGGGTCATTTTGGATTCACAGCTGTCCATGGAGGCACAGGTCAATTCTGTATCCAGGGCAGCTGTCTACCAACTCCACCTGGTACGCAGGCTGAGACCCTACCTGCCTGCGGACGATCTTGCCAGAGTGGTGCATGCTCTAGTTATCTCCTGCTTGGACTACTGCAATGCGCTCTATGTGGGGCTAACTTTGAAGGTGACCCAGAAACTATAACTAATCCAGAATGTGGCAACTAGACTGGTGACTGGGAGTGGCCATTGAGACTACATAACACCGGTCCTGAAATACCTACATTGGCTCCCAGTACATTTCCGAGCACAATTCAAAGTGTTGGGGTTGACCTTTAGAGCCCTAAACGGCCTCGGCCCAGTATACTTGAAGGAGCATCTCCTCCCCCATCGTTCAGCCCGGACACTGAGGTCCAGCTCCGAGGACCTTCTGGCGGTTCCCTCACTGTGAGAAGTGAGGTTACAGGGAATCAGGCAGAGGGCCTTCTCGGTAATGGTGCCCACCCTGTGGAACGCCCTCCCATCAGATGTCAAGGAAATAAACAACTATTTGACTTTTAGAAGACATCTGAAGGCAGCCCTGTTTAGGGCAGTTTTTAATGTTTGCTGTTTTATCGTGTTTTTAATATTCTGTTGGCAGCCGCCCAGAGTGGCTGGGGAACCCCGGCCAGATGTGCAGGGTATAAATAATAAATTGTTATTATTAAGGAAAGGTCTGAGGAAGCCTTTAATACACCACAGCTGGCCTTATACTAGGAATAACAGGATGTGTGCTTAAACAAGTGGGTGCTGCAATAAAATGTTGCAGGGTATTCTCACAGCCTAACAGGCCTGCTCCTCTTCATGGTTCCAGACAGCCAATGAGCTATGCCTTCTTCCAGGGTACTGTAATAAGTTGCAGGCCCTGGCAGGACATTTCGCTATCCCTACCCCTTTTCTGATCCTGCCCTCCCCCCCAGCAGACACACAACTTTCTATGGTTCCTAGAGAATGCTCAATTTTTACCAGGTTTCTGTGGGGAGAAGTGATTTTCCCCTTTGGGCTATTGTTTAAAAATGTACTGTACCTCTACAAACCACAGATTTTCACCTGTCTCAATTAAAACCCAGTTTCGGCTTTCCTCCTGGGAACACTCAAGCACCTTAATTTGCTATTAAAGCTGGTATTACACCCCGCCCTCCTGCTCCCCTCTTTCTTTCCCTTGCAGAAATATAATTTAATTCTAACTTTGGGTGGGACTTCCCTGTAGCAAAATAGCCAAATAAAAGTAAAATTAGGTCATATTATTTTTTCTTATATCTTCTGAATCAGAGTATAAATCTTTCTGCAGCACTTTATCAAGCTTTCCCCCTGAATATTTACTAAAGGGGACAGTTAAATAATAAACATTTAGGATAAAAATGGAATGAGGCCGGGGGATAAAATATGCTTTCCTTGTAGCACATTCTGCCTTTAAGACACTATATATGTATATATATTAAAAGGGTGTTTTTTTTCCATCTTGGGGTTGTTTCTGAATCACTATTCATGTAGAGTGGAACTAACAGGAAAAGAAATGTGTTTTTAAATCTGCTCTAACACTTTTAAAGTTTGTGTGGCTAAAGAGGCAGTAATGTGTTGAATTTAGCTGCATTCGTAAACCAGCCACGCAGCTGCTCTGACAGATTTCTTTTTCCTTTATGAATATATATATAATAAATGCAGCAGAACAGTTTTGCAAACATCTTGCTGATCACTGTGCCCATTATATTCTCTTTCTTGTCGCTAAGGCTAGCTGGGAAACAATGCTCTGTCATAGGAATCGCAAGATGACACCTTTTAAAGGAACGCCACAGTAATTCAAGGTACATGAAGGTGGTTCTTTGCCAAGCCTTCAGAATATAATTGGCTTTGGCACCATCCCTACATATTATGACAGTAAGTATGGCAATTTAAATAACGCTATGGCACGCACAATTCTCATGTTGCGAATGCATGATTTATTGCCTTTTGCGACGAGTGCTAAGCAATAGGCCTCAATTAAAGAGGGGGGGCCTCTCAATGAGTAGTTTTTTGTTTGCTTGCCTATCATAACAATATAAGAACATAAAGGGATGCGGGTGGAGCTGTGGTCTAAACCACTGAGCCGCTTGGGCTTGCTGATTGGAAGGTCGGTGGTTCGAATCCCTGCAACAGGGTGAACACCCATTGCTCAGTCCCAGCTTCTGTCAATGTAGCAGTTTGAAAGCACGCCAGTGCAAGTAGATAAATAGGTACTGCTCCGGCAGTACCTCTGTTTCCTGCTTGGCAGGGGGTTGGACTCGATGGCCCTTGTGGTCTCTTCCAACTCTATGATTCTATGATTCCGGCGGGAAGGTAAACAGCATTTCTGTGCGCTCTGGCTTCTGTTACAATGTTTTGTTGTGCCAGAAGCGGTTTAGTCATGCTGGCCACATGACCTGGAAAGCTGTCTGTGGACAAACACTGGCTTGCTCGGCCTGAAAGCGAGGTGAACGCCACACCCCATAGTCACCTTTGACTGGACTTAACCGTCCAGGGGTCCTTTACCTTTACCTTTACCTGAGCTAGTGTGCTGTAGTGCTTCAGAGCGGTGCACTTGTAATCTGGTGAACCGGGTTTGATGCCCTGCTCCTCCACATGCAGCTGCTGGGTGACCTTGGGCTAGTCACACTTCTCTGAAGTTCTCAGCCTCACTCACCTCACAGAGTGTTTGTTGTGGGGGAGGAAGGGAAAGGAGATTGTTAGCCGCTTTGAGACTCCTTAGGGTAGTGATAAAGTGGGATAGCAAATCCAAACTCTTCTTATTCTTCTTTTTATAAGCACATAGGAAGAGCCTTTTGGATCAGGCCAGTGCCTACCTAATCCAGCATCCAGTTATCACAGTGGCCAACCAGATATTTATGGGAAAGCTGGAAGCAAGACCTCCTGTTAGGGTTGCCATATTTCAATGAAATATCTCGTGAGCTTTTTTTTTTGACCAAAAGTTGTTGAGCTTCTTTTAGTTTTGCCATATGTCCGGATTTTCCTGGACATTTTAGCAATTTCCACTCAGATATGTGTGTTGTGTGGAGAGTTCCTGCCCCCCCAGTGGAAATAAAGACACATGACACAATTATTAAGGTTAATGGGCTAAATAAGGCCACAACTTTATTGGTGATGAGCGGTATTGGCTTAGGCATTGGTCCTAACCAACTATATCCGGCTTCAGTCCGTCCGCTTGAAGTCCAGGAAGGGTTAACCACCAGTAGGGGGAGTCTTGCTGATGCACATCAACTAGGAACTCCCCCGGGGTCACCGCTCGTGGGCGTGCCTTAGGCCCTCACCTCCATAGGCTTCGGACAGGGCCAAGCCCCCTGGAATCCTTTATCAGACTACCCTTCAATATGCGGGGCAGGTGATGGCGCTTCCTCCCCTCTTCCATCTACGAAACAATACCAATACTAATGCCTAACTGCCAATACCAAGAAAGTTGTGATGATTTGCTATGAGGTAGGCGAAAACCAAGTGGCCCATGCCAATTTGCCAGCTGGAAAAATTCCTACCAGGCCCCTCAACGGCGACCAACCAAGGTTCATAGCAAGGTTAAGGAACGAAAACCTTAAAGGATGGGAGGGTGGGAAACAGGAACAGCTGGTATGCGAGAAAAGAGCGAGATCCCCGGCCGCGCCTGCATTTAAATCGGGCAGGCCATGCCCCCAATGCCAGCTGATTGGCCGGGGATTCCCCCAATCGCACAGCCCCGCGTGTGTGGTGGGGCCGTGACGCCCGCAATCCCACCTCCTCTGCAGGGTGGAAGTGGCTTTCTGGATCTGTCCAGGAAATTCTAGACCAATGGCAACCCTACCTCTTGTGGTTTCCAGTAACTGGTATACAGAAAAATTACCGCCTCCAACTGTGGAGGGGGGAGCATAGCCATTATGGCTAGTAGCTGTCAAGTTTGTCTAATCCTATTTTAAAAGCCATCTATTCTGATGACACTTGCTTTACCTCCTCCACCCAAGTCTTTGTCATGGTACATTG